GACCAAAGACCTTAAACAGGCTGGCGGTGTCAGGCGTGGTGTTAGGCGTGGTGCGAGGCGTGGCGGGGGGGTCACAGGGCGACTTTTGCATGGTGGGTGGCCCCAGTCACCCGTGGCCAGAGACCCTCAGGAGGATGGCGATGTCAGGCGTGGTGTCAGGCGTGGTGCGAGGCGTTCTGGGGGGGTGGCCCGCGACATCCATACCGAGAGACCCTCAGGGGGCTGGCGGTGTCTGGCGTGGTGCCAGGCATGGTGTGGGGGTCCCGGGGCGATGTTTGCATGATGAGTGGCTGGCCTGTACTGTTCGTGTAGAGTCCAGAGGCCCAGATGGTCCAGGAGGCTGGCGGAGTCGGAAGTGGTTGGGGGAGGGTCCCGAACGGTTTTTGCAGGGCTGGTGGACCCGAAGCACCGACGCCCATAGACGCCAAGAGGCTGGCGCTGTCAGACGTGTTGGGGGGGGGGCGGGGACGGATGTTGCAAGGTGGATGGCCCGTAAGGACCGATGCCCAAAGGCTCCAGGAGGCGCGGGGGAAGTCTAGGGGCGATTTTTGCATGGTGGGTGGCCCCAGAAACCCATGACCAGCCGCCCTCAGGAGGCTGGCAGTGTCAGGCGTGGAGTCAAACGTAGTGCGAGGCGTGGTGGGAGGGTCCCGGGACGATTTGTGCATGGTGGGTAGCTCCAGAAACCCATGCCCAGAGACGCTAATGGGATTGGCGGTGTCCGGCTTGGTGCCAGGCGTGTTGGGGGCCCTTGGACGATTTTTGCATGGTGAGTGGCCCTAGAAATCCATGGCCAGAGACCTTCGGGGAGGTTGGCGGTGTCAGGCGTGGTGTCAGGCGTGGTGCCAGGCGTGGTGGGGGGCCCCGAGACGATTTATGCATGGCGGGTGGCCCCAGAAACCCATGCCCAGAGGTCAGGAGGCTGGTGGTGTCAGGCGTGGTGTCAGGCGTGGTTGGGGGGTCCGGGGACGAGGTTTGCATGGTGGCTGGCACTAGAAACCCATGGTCAGAGACCCTGAGGGGGCTGGCGGTGTGAGGCGTGGTGTCAGGCGTGGTGCCAGGCGTGGTGTGTGTGGTCGCAGGACGATTTTTGCATATTGGGTGGCTCCAGAAACCTATCCTGGAGGTCACCACCTTTGGTACAGCAGGACCACGGGCGAGTGGAGATGTCGTGAGTGCGGCACGTTCACCAGGACCGAGGCTGGCATCCGCTCCCTGGCCGCTGCCGCCGCCCGCTGCCGTCCATCGCCGTTCGACCTTTGGAAAGCGAATCGTGCGTTTGGTCGGGGACCCAATGATTGGGAGCTGGTTGTGTCCGAGGGTGCTCCTGCGGCGCTGGAGGCGGCCGACAGGCTGCTTGCGGAAGCCGCCCTGGATCCCGAGGGCTCGGCGGAGGCCCCTGTGGGGCCCGTCGTTGGGGAGTCTGGGGCGTCGACCCCCGCCGGTGCCGAGCCTGGCCTGGTGGTGGCTGTCGCTTCGGCTTCGGGTGAGGGGTCGGCTGCGGCGCCCGACGGGGGGGCCGCTGGGCCTGAGCCGTCGGGCGGTGGGGCCCCTGGGCCTTCCCTGGGGACTCTGGGGTCGGCGTCTCGGGATCGGGACCCTGCGGCCTGGGCACTGTTCCACGACCATGGCCATCGGATGGCCGAGGTCAGCGGCGTGGCGTTCTGTGAACGCTGTGCCTGCCATGCCGGGGAGTCGGGCAACGTGGTGGCCCTCAAGCGGCCCTGCAAGGGCCCCTCGGACCACCCCCGGACGTTGGCGGTGCAGAAGCACCGTATCAAAAGGATGAGGGAGGGCAAGCCACCGCGATAGTGGTTGGTTGTCAGCCCCTCCCCGTCCCTTTCCTTCTTCTAGCGTTTGCATTCGGGCGACTTGGACGCATTCCTGCTTGGCTCTCTCTCGCGGTCAGGCGTGGTATCAGTCGCGAGGCGTGGCGGGGGGGAAGTCCTGGGGCGATGTTTGAATGGTGTGTGGCCCCAGCAACCCATGGGCAAAAACCTTCAGGAGGCTTTCGGTGTCAGCCGTGGTGTCAGGCGTGGTGCGATGCGTGGCAGGGCGGTCCTGGGGCGATTACTGCATGGTGGGGTGGCCCCAGAAACCCATGGCCAGAGACCCTTAGGAGGCTGGCGGTGTTGGGCGTAGTGTCAGGCGTTGTGCGAGACGTTGTGGGGGCGCTTCCAGGACGATTTTTGCATGGAGGGTGGCCCTAGAAGCCCATGCCCAGAGGCCCTGAGGAGGTTGGCAGTGTCAGACGTGGTGTCAGGCGTTGTGCATGGTAGGAGATCCCGGAACGATTTCTCAAGGGTGGGTGACTCCAGAAACCCATGCCCAGAGACTCTCAGGGCGTTGGCGGTTTCAGGCGTGGTGTCAGGCGAGGTGCAAGGCGTGGTGGTGGGGGTTGGGTCCCGGGACGATTTTTGCATGGTAGGTGGCACTAGAAACCCATGGCCAGAGACCCTCATGAGGCTGGCGATGTCATGCGTGGTGTCAGTGGTGCGAGGCGTGGTGGGGGCGTCCCGGGACGATTCTTTCATAGTGGGTGGCCCCAGAAACCCATGCCCAGAGACCCTCAGGAGGCTGGCGATGTCATGCATAGTATCCGGCGTGTTGCCAGGATTATGTTTGCATGGTGGGTAGCCCTAGAAACCTAATTATGTCCAGACTGGCGGTGTCAGGGGTGGTGTCACGCGTGGTGTCAGGCGTGGTGCCAGGTGTGTTGGGGGGTCCCAGGAAGATTTTTTCATGGTGGGTGGCCCTAGAGACCCATTCCCAGAGACCCTGAGGGGTCTGGCGGCCTGGCGGTGTCCGACGTGGTGTCAGGCGTGGTGGGGGGGTCCCCGGACGATTTTTGCATGGTGGGTGGCCCTAGACACCCGTGGCAAGAGACTTTCAGGAGGCTGGCGGTCAGGCGTGGTGTCAGTCGTGGGGCGAGTCGTGGTGGGGGGGGTCCTCGGGCGATTTTTGCATGGTGTGTGGCCCCAGCGACCCATGGGCAAAAACCTCCAGGAGGCTGGCGGAGTGAGGGGTGGTGTCAGGCGTGGTGCGAGGCGTGGTGGGGGTCCTGGGGCGATTGTTGCATGGTGGGTGGCCCCAGAAACCCATGACCAGAGATACACTGAGGGAGCTGGCGGTGTCAGGGGTGGTGTCCGGCGTGGTGCCAGGCGTGGTGTGGGGGGGGGGCCCGGGATGACTTTTGCATGGTGGGTGGTCCCAGAAGCCCACCGCCAGAGGCCCTGAGGAGGCTGACGGTGTCAGACGTGTTGGCAGGCGTGGTGCGAGGCGTGGCGGGGGGCTCCCGGGACGATCTTGTTAAGGGTTAGTGGCCCCAGAGACCCATGGCCAGAGACTCTCAGGGCGCTGGCGGTTTCAGGCGTGGTGTCAGGCGTGGTGCAAGGCGTGGTGGTAGGGGGGTGTCCTGAGATGCTCTTTTCACGGCGGCCCCAGAAGAAAACCATGCCCAGTGACCCTCAGGAGGATGGTGGTTTCAGGCGTGGTGTCAGGCGTGGTCGAGGCGTGGTGCACCGGGGGCCCCCGGGGACGATTTTTGCATGGTGGGGTGGCCCCAGAATGCCATGCCCAGAGACTCTCAGGGCGCTGGCGGTGTCAGGCGTGGTGTCAGGCGTGGTGCCAGGCGTGGTGGGGTGGGTGGGTCCCAGGACGATTTTTGCATGGTAGGTGGCCCCAGAAACCCATTGCAAGAGACCCTCGGTGGGCTGGCGATGTCAGGCGTGGTGTCAGGCGTGCTGCCAGGCGTGGTGTGGGGGGGTGGGGCCGGGACGAAGATTGCATGGTAGGTGGCACCAGAAACCCATGGCCAGAGATTTTCGAGGAGCTGGCGGTGTCAGGGGTGGTGTCGGGCGTTGTGCCACGCGTGGTGGGAGGGTCCCCGGACGATTTTTGCATGGTGGGTGGCCCCGGAAACCTATGGCCAGGCGTTGTCAGGGGTGGTGTCCGGCGTGGTGCCAGGCGTGGTGGGGGGGTCCCGGGATGATTTTTGTGTTTTGGGTGGCCTTAGAAACCCATGCCCAGAGAGTCCAGGAGACTGGCGGTGTCAGGCGTGGTGTCAGGCGTGGTGCCAGGCGTGGTTGGGTGTCCCCGGACGATCTTTGCATGCCCAGAAGCCCATGCCCAGTGACCTTGAGGGAGTTGGCGGTGTCAGGCGTGGTGCCAGGCGTGGTGCCAGGCGTGGCGGGGGCTCCTGGGACGACTTTTGCATGGTGGGTGGCCCGAGAGATTCATGGCAAGAGACCTTCAGGAGGCTGGCGGTCAGGCGTGGTGCCAGTCGTGGTGCGAGGCGTGGTGGGGGGGTCCTGGGGTAATTTTTGCATGTTGGGCGGCCCGAGAGATCCATACCGAGAGACCTTGAGGTGCTGGCGGTGTCAGGCGTGGTGCGAGGCGTGGTGGGGTCTCCCGGGACCATGTTTGCATGATGAGTGGCCGGGGGGAGGGGGTCTTGGTATTGTTTGTATAGTAGCCCTTAGGAATCGATGCCCAGAAGCTCCAGGAGGCGTTCGGTGTTGGACGTGGTTGGGCGGGGAGTCTCAGGACGGTTTTTGCAGAGTTGGTGGGCCCGAAGCACCGATGCCCAGGGATTCCAAGAGGCTGGCGCTGTCAGACGTGTTCGGATGGGGGGATGGGGTTCCCGGGACGGTTGGTGCAAGTTGTATGGCCCAGGAGGCTGGTGGTGTCAGAAGTAGTGTGGGGGGGGTCCCAGGGCGTTTTTTGCATGGTGGTGGGTGGCAAGTAAGAGCCGAAGCACAGAGGCTCCAGGAGGCTGGCATTATCAGCCGTGGTTCGGGGGGGTCCTGGGACGGTTTTTGCAAGGTGGGTGGCCCCTAAGAACGGGGTCAGGGTTGGTCCCGCGCCAGGATTTGTCGGGTGGGAGGTCGCAGGAGACTGATTCCAAGTAGCAGGGTAACACTCTGATTGTCAAGTGGGAGGTCGTCAACAGGTGTACAGTTGAGTCGCTCACGCCTCTGGGGTCGGCGGATCTGCTTGAGTGGGATGACGGACAGCTTGATGAGCGGCAGAAGCCCCTCTCCGAGATGCGCAGGGCCATTGGGACAGGCGGCCCCGAGGCCGTGCGCCAGGCTTTGAGCGAGCTGAAGCGCCTGCTGCAGGACAACGCAGAGGAGGTCCGCTGGTTAGCGGCCCAGGCCATCGGCTATGGCTTCCCCGATGACGTGCGTAAGGCAGTACTGGAACTGAGGCACCTGATGCAAGACAACACGGCAAAGGTACGCCGGCTTGCCACGAGGGCCATCGGGGCAGCTGGCCGCGAGGCCGCGCGCCAGGCCTTGCCGGAGCTGAAGCAGTTGCTGCAAGACGGCGACACAGAAGTCAAGCAGTCTGCCGCCTGGGTCATCGGGGTTGGCGGCCCCGAGGCCGTGCTCCAGGCCTTGCCGAAGCTGAAGCATCTGCTGCAGGACGACGCACCACAGGTCCGTGCGCGTGCCGCCGCGGCCTTCGATGCGGGTGGCCCCGAGGCCGTGCGCCAGGCTTTGAGCGAGCTTATCGGCCTGCTGCAGGACAACGCAGAGGAGGTCCGCTGGTTAGCGGCCCGGGCCATCGGCAATGGCTTCCCCGATGACGTGCGTAAGGCAGTACCGGAACTGAGGCACCTGATGCAAGACAACACGCCAAAGGTACGCCGGCTTGCCACGAGGGCCATCAGGGCAGCTGGCCGCGAGGCCGCGCGCCAGGCCTTGCCGGAGCTGAAGCAGTTGTTGCATGACGAACGGTTGTGGATCCGCTACGGCGCCGTCGAGGTCATCGCGCGAGGCGGCGCCGAGGCTGACGAACGATCAACACGAACACATCCCAGATGGGGGACGGAATAAGCTATGTGTGCGTGTTGTTGGATGGGGGGCCCCGCTCGAACTGGAGCCTCCCAAGGGGTCCGACAACCCGCACCCATACCCATAGCCAGTCCTTCTCCCTCCGACCTCCCCATGGGTAATTTTGGGTGCGTGTTGTTCGTTCGTCAGAGGTTGTGCTCGAGGTTGTGCCGGAGATGAAGCGCATGTTGCTGGATAACGACGAAGGCGTTCAAATGAGGGCCGCGCAGGCCTGCACGGTTGGCGGCCCGAACGTTGTCAAAGATGCAGCGGCTCACCTTAATGACCTGCTGGACGGCGCCAGCAACGCAAGCACGCGCAAGAAAGCCGTTTTGGCTGTGGGGTTCCTTGGCCAGGCCGCCATCGTGGCGACACTTACATCCTTGCGCAAGATTCTGAGCGAAAGCCTGAACTCAACATCTCTCCTGACGCTTCCTGCAAATGTTGCATGGGCCTTGAGACAAGGCGACCCAAACAGCGTGCTGATGGAGACCATTCCGATCTTGAACCAGACCCTAGTTGCGATGAAGGGCCACCCCGACGACGTGAAGGATCTTACCACCATCGATGAAGTCCAGAGCACACTGGTCAAGTTTCTCGATCAGGCCCAGGCGAACTGCCAAGATCAGTTTCGACTTCAAGTGGAACAGACTTTCAATGTCAATCGGTCGACTGTCACGGCCCCTGCAGGCTACGCGGTCACGACTGGTCAACCGGGCGCCGCCGCGCTGCAGGCGCACCGGTGCCCAAACCAGAACGCGTGCCCGGGCGAGGTCTTCAATACGACCTACTACAGCAGCTGCGACGCCTTCCAGCCAGGCTCTTGCCCTCTCGGACGCCAGGACGAGGACGCCAGGACGACGGCGCCAGGACCACGCCGAGGTCCATGCGATGTCGGTTACGACGCCAGGGTCGCCGGCTGCGCAGGGTGCCTCGACACGTGGGGCCGGTCGGCAAAGGATCCTTTCAAGTGCCAGCGGTGCGACAACGCGAAGCTGCCGCAGTGGGCCACCTGGCTGGCCCATCCGGCGGCGCTGCTGGCGCTCTCAATGCGGAGCGCGAACAGCGCTGCGACCCGGGGGGACGCCGCCGCCTTCGCTAACGACATCCTGAAGATCAGCCTCTCTTTCAGCTCCAGCTCGACAGTGGTTGTCTCCGCGCTGGCTTCCACGACCACTTTCCAAGACATTGGACAGCAGGGGTGGAATCTGCTGGGATGGTCAGCCTCTTTCACCCAAGTCGGCGAGGTGGCCCACTCTTCGAGCCCCGACTGCCTGCTCGGTCTCGGGCGGGCGCTCTCGCCCGACGAGTTGTTGGCGCTGTCACTTGTAAACCCAGGCATCGTCATTGCGGCTGCCACCCCAGTCCTCGCAGCCATCAGCCGTTGGCGAGGCGCGAGCTTCACGCAGAGCTTGCTGACACTCGCCGTTGTCGCAGGCAACCAGTACGTGCCGCGCATCGCCGCCACGTGCGCGTACATCTTACCCTGCTTCCACACGCAGGCGACGGCGGTCGAGGGCGGCTTGATGGCCTACTCCACCCGGGAGCCCCGGGAGGAGTGCGCGAAAAGGTGGACGTACGCGCCCATCCGGGCGCTTCTGTTCTTCTTGGCATGCGCCGCTGGGCCAGGGCTGTGGAGGTGGCTTCTTCGCCACAGAGAGGGAGGTCACTTCGTTCGTTACCTCACCGCCTCCTACCGCTCAGAGCACCAGGCGTGGGAGTCCAACCGCCTAGTCAAGGATATTGCCATGTCTTGCGTGATCGCGGCGAATCCAGTGACCTACAGACCAGGAACCATGCTGTCCATCGCTGTCTGCACCATGCTGACCTACGTCTGCTGGCACGTGAAGTGCCAGCCGTACAAATTCAGAGTGCTGAACTACGTCGAGGCCGGCACCCTCTTCAACCTGACCGTCTGCATGGTGCTGACCAGCCTGATCGCCAGCCCAGCATGGGATATTACGGACGATTTCGGGCGCGTGTTGTGGTACCTTGTGTTCGCCATGTTGCTGGTAAACGGCCTCCTGCTGGCGGCATTCTTGGTGTACTCAAAGACATTTCTTACGGACGAGGATGACATTCTCGCGACGCCGCAGTGAGGCGCTCGTGGCGTGGTCAATTCGGTGTGCTCGGACCCCGTAGGCCGTGCACGCAAGTGGCCTTCCATGCGCTTCTGCGCAGACCGGAGGCCCAGAGGATTGAGATTTTTGCCCGGCCACGCCAGGCCAAATGCCTCGAGAGAGGACGAGGCGGCGTCCATCTCGCCACCCAGCGTGAGGAGAAGCCCCTTGGCGCGCCGCCAGGCCGCATGTTAAAGATGGCAAACGTGACGATCGCCGCCGGCGATGACGAGCGGCGACGAGCGGCGACGACGACGAGCGGCGACGAGCGGCGACGACGACGACGACGACGACGACGACGACGACGACGACGTTGAGGGCGTTGCGGACTGCGGCACGGGGCGGGCGAGGCGCTCCGCCCCGCGCCGGGCGCCCGCCATGGCGCCCTGCGCCTCCTCGAGGCCTCCGTGGCCTCCCTCCACTCTCCTGCCTCCTGAGCCCTCAGCGCCGCGAGGGCCTCCGCCTTGGCGCCCGGCTCGAGCAGCTCCTCCTCGTCGACCCCGTAATTAGGTTTTGACCACGTCGGCCAGCTAGGCGGAGCTTCACCGCCTGGCCATACCGCTGCACTCCTCCTAGCTCCTCACGCTGCTTCTTCGGTGGTGTCACCTCGGCATCTTCTCCACCTGCCAGCAGCAGCTCCTGCTCGGAGCCCTCGCCTGGCTCCTGCCCGAACTTGCACCTCTCCTTCTTCCTTCAGGGCAGCGGGTGGAGCCATCCTCCCGGTCTGCTCCTTGGGGCCACAGGCCCCCTGGCAGCGTCCAAACAGCAGCCCCTTGCCTCCTCGCGAGCGTGGCGACGTGGCCTCTCGCCCCGCTCGCTGCACACCTGCAGCAGGCCACTCCCTTCTCGCCGCCGTCGGCCACACAGTCCACGAGGTGGTGCCCACGCAACTCGACTGGCCCTCTTCCTGGCCGCGCCTCGACCTCCTCTGGTCCCTCTGCCTCTTTTGGGGGCCTCACCTTTCCGTGGCTCTCCTCCTCTTCCTTTTCGAGGAAGTCCAGCAGCTCTTGCAGCTTCTCCCCAAGGACCACCATACTTCCTGCGGGATGCCGTCCGCGTCCTGCTGGCCATCCTGCATCATCTCACTGCGGACCGGGCAACCCACTTGGCCACTTCATTGGCAAAGAACTGCGCTCCTCTGGCCGCTCGCCCTCTCTCCTCACGTCGTGGCCGGAGCCTCGCACCCCTCTGCGCGCAGGAGTCCACCACTTCGTTGCCTGCCCTCGCCCACCTCTCTGTCTCCGTCACGCACTCATTCCTCGAGCGGTGGACCTGCACCTTGGCGACGTGCACGAGCTCGTGCCCTCCCAGCTCGGCCCACCGCATCCCCCACACTGTGCCTCCTCGCCGCCCCCTTCGCCAGCGCTTGGCATTCTGGAAGCCGCGCTGTCCCGATCGAGCCCGCGCAGTCGCTGAAGACCTCAAGCGGCGCCTGCGCGCGGCAGGCAAGGAAGTGGAAGGCGAAGTCCTCGCCGTCGCGCGCCAGCTGCTGCGGCCCGGGTGCGGTCGGGACGGTGCCCTACACCGCCCACAGCACCTCGCCGCCCTCGCTGAGCATCACCACCGGCCAGCCTGCCCTCCTCGGCGTCTTCTCCTCGGGGTCCATGGCGGGCCCGTCCACGAGTGCCCTGCTGTGGAAGGGGGTACCTTGACCCGGACCACCTCGTCCTTGGCCTCCCTCTCGTGCGGCTCCATCCAGGCCTGCGTCAGCTCGGGGAAGAGTCCTTTGGCGAACCTCTCGCCTGCCTCCTCTCCTTGCTCCTGAACCCTGGCTGCAGCCTTCTGGACTATCCTGGGGCATAGGTCCCTCCTCCTCACCTGCTCCGCGTCGCACTCGAAGTGCCTGTGCCGCAGCGCGCCCTCTGTCGAACAGCCTCGCCTGCGTCCGCGTGGAGCCTCCTGCACCGCACCTGGGCGCCCTCCGTCTCCGTCTCCTCTTACGTCCGTCTCCTCCTACGCTTGGAGTTCATCGATATACCTCCAGTGCAGCGGCCCTCCCCAGGCAGACCTGCCTAAGCCTGTCATGGTCTTGGATCTTGGCATCCTCCGCCCATCGCGCCGTCCTGGCCACCATGTCGCTGACCAGTGTAGGTCCCAGCCACTTCAGGTCCAGCTCCTCGCCCGAGCGTGAAGGCGGTGCTCATCTGGACGCCTGCTCTCGCCATGGTGAGTCGCGGGCTTCCGCCGGGCTCGTCGCTGCAGCCCACGGTCGTTCACGTCTAAGCAGACTGGCGCTGTCGTCCCAGCAACTGCTCATCACCGCCAGCGGCAGCGCTGCGGTGGGTGCCGCCGCGCACATCGCCCAGGCCCTGACCGCCTCGGCAGCCGCCAGCACTCCTGGGTTCCTCTTCCCTCCTTCTGCCGTCGCCACCAGCCTCAGGTATGCCACCGCTCCCTTTTGGCAGCCTGCCTTCTGCCTTCGCCGCCTGGACCCTCAGCTGGTGCACCTTGTGGTCTGCCACTCCCGTGACTCCTGCACCCCGCAGGGTTGTCGCCGTCGGACGGCTCCTCTGCAGGTGCCTTGCCTCGGTCGCTCCTGCGGCCTTCGGCGCCTACGCCCTCACCGCTGCCTTCGCTGCCTTCGCCCTCCCCGTGTCCTGCTCTCCTGTGCGCCTCCACCTGCCGCCACTCGAGTCGCACCCAAGGTTCCGACCGGCGCCGCCCCCTCCAGCCTCAAGTCCGCGTGGGCCAGCTTGATCTGCAGCAGGTTATCCGCGTCCGCATCGCTGGTCAAGTATTGTGTCTTGCGCCGCAACACTACCAGGTTCAGCGCCCCGAAGCTGTGGATCGTGTGGATGAGCGCCTGCGGGAGCTGCTGCCTCACCTGCTCCGCCTCGCCGATCGCATGCAGCATCGCGTCGTCCACAGCGTTCTGGTACTTGGCCTGGGGGCACGCACGTCTTTGCCAGCGTGACGAGTGCCCTGTGCATCATGACCTTCGCGAGCCCCGTCGCACGCGAGCACCCTGCCGCCAGCGGCCCAGGCACCTCCAGCTCCTCACTTATGATGGCCCTCCTCGGCATCCTGTAGCTGATGCGCAGCAGCCTCAGCAGCTCCATGGGGAAGTCCACCTTCTCGCTCTCCTGCCTGAGCGCCTCGTGGGACACATGCTCAAGGAAATTGGCAAGGTCCATGATTCCCGCCCCGTGCGCGAACCCTGCCTTTTTCGCATGGCACGCCACCAGGCTGGAGATCATCCCCGCCATGTCGCACGGCGTGCCCGCGGTCCCCCAGAAGTGTTCCTGGCGCGGCAGCTCCTGCTCCCACGTGGCGACCAGCGGCTGCCTTCGCCTGCTCCACAACCTCATGGCGAAGGCCAGCAGGTGGATCGGTTGTACTCCCCGTTCAGGTTTCGCCAAGAACACCGTCACCACACTCCATATCGCTATGGGCTTCGCGATTGCCTCCCACACGTTGAGTATGTCCGCCAACCTGTCGCAAACGACGGCGCAGCTTGTCCCAGCCCAGCCCCGTGCCTCTCGTGTACAACTCGAGCACCCCCCCAGGTCTGCTCCCCGCTGATCGGCTCCAGCCCCTGGCCTCTCCTCCAGTCCTTGGAGCGCGCCTCTCTGCTCCTGCCCTCCTTGGCCCAGAGCGCCGTCCAGGCCGCGAGTGCCACGTCCATGGCTGCCATGCCTGCCTGCGGGACTCCATCCACCTTTGGGCCGTCGTCCTCCTCGCGTACCCTTCCTGTCCCAGGAACTTGAACGCCGCAGAGCTTCCAGCATGCTTCATGGCCTTATTCACCCAGCCAGCTCCTCCAGCCTGCGTTAGCCTCCTTGATGTCCTCTCCATTCCTCTTGACCAGCCCCTGCTGCGCCGCCTCGATTACATCCTGCTGCTTCTCCTTCGAGTCCGTCAACCGGCGCCGAGCCTCCAGCCAGCGGCCACCCGTTCGGCCGGCTTTGTGCGTCCTCCTCTTGTTGCAAGTCTTCATGGGCCCTGCTCTGAGCTCTCCTCGCACGGGCCCCCTCATGGCTCCTTGCCGCTTGGAGCCTGACCCGCGCGGCCGTCCTGTTCGCGCACATGCTGGCCTCCGCGCTGGCCCGCTTCTTCAGCCCTTGCTGCCACTCGACTTCCAGGTCTCGCCAGGCGAACTTCGGACCCCCAGCTCTCCTCACTTGTTCCTCGCCCATCCGGTGCAGCTCGTGCAGGCCGCCCTCTGCCCCCGTGAACAATTGGCGCGCTTCCGCTGCCTCCTCTGCTTTCCAAGCCAGCTTCCCCCTCTCTCTCTATATATGTGTGTATATATATATATATATATATACATATAACGGCGCACCTGGTCTGGGGGCCCGGGGCCGGGACCACGACCGCAAATGTGGGGACCGGGGGCTCTGGAGGCTCGCCGGGGCTTGCCGGAGGCCTCCCCGGTCAGACAAGACGGCCCCAGGAACGCCCAAGACGGCCCAAGAAACTTCCAAGAGGCCTCCAAGAGGGCTCCGAGATGCTGAAGATGGCCTCCAGACGTCCAAGGACGCCCCCAAGAGGCCCCAAGAAGCCTCCAACATGCGTCCCAAGAGGGCCCCTAGACGCAAAAATTGGCCCATTCCCTTCGTAAAACGTACATTTTCAACAAAGTTCTCTTTTGGGCTTTCCGACGTTACAGGACGGCCCAAGAGGCGCCCAAGACCGCCCCAAGACGGCCCAAGAAGCTTCCAAGAGGGCCCCAGGACAGCCCAAGAGGGCCCCAAGACGGCCCAAGAGGCGCCCAAGATGGCCCAAGAGGGCCCCAAGACGGGCCCAAGAGGGGGCCCAGAGGGGGACCACGAACCGCAAGCTCGAGCCTTCCGCCCCAAGAGGCCGCCAGGAGGCCCCCAGGAGGCCCCCAGGAGGCCCAGACCAGGAGGGAGGCCCCAGGAGACCCCAGACGTCCAAGGACGCCCCCAAGACGCCCCAAGAAGCCTCCAACATGCGTCCCAAGAGGGCCCCTAGACGCAAAAATTGGCCCATTCCCTTCGTAAAACGTACATTTTCAA